ATAAAAGGACACTTACGTACTTAAAAACACTTTAACGACTCTTTCTTAAACTTAAGTGCACTTCTAAGAAAACATATAGCATTTAATAGAAATTCAACTATTTTCATCTAATTGTAATTAACATGCAATCAAGTGTCCAAAAACATTACATTCAGTTCATGCTCCAGTATATTCTTTTAAAGAATATAAAGAATGTTAAATATGAAGAATATTTGTATTTTAGTATTTTACCAAATGTTTGTTTGCGTTGTTAGCTTAGCAGCATGCTAACACCAAACACCATACTTTGAGAATTGAGTCTCCCGTGTGATTTGCGTGAGCATTGAATATTGTACGTATGTGTCTCTTTTGAGAGTTCACCAATTCTGCCTTAGTTAATGTTATATGAATGTTAGGACAAAACGTTCTTAACGTAATATTTGATATATGTTCTCATAATGTTGAGAGAAAACATTCTTAGCTTAGCATTCTTGGAATGTCCTTATGATGTTATTTGTACTTGATGAACGTTTAAGAAACGTTTAAATAACGTTCTAATCATCACAGGAAAACTGAAACATTGTAATGTTCTTAGAATATTAAAAAATAAACACTCAAAAAACGTTATATTTTGGGTAAAAGTCAAATTTATAGAAAAGACTTTTGTGACTTTTAACATATAACATTCTAATCAGGACAAGAAACCTGGACTTTTTAACGTTCTTAGAATATTAAAGGGGAGATAACACACACAGTTTCACCCAATCTCATGTTAATCTTGAGTACCTATAGAGTCGTACTGCATTCTTCATATCTCCAAAAAGTCTTTAGTTTTATCATATTTATAAAAGAAAGATACAGCTTTACGATTCTCTCCGGAAACAGCCGAGCTCCTGGAGGCGCGCCGTGGGCGGAGCTAAAGAGCGACGAGCACTTGAGCTCCGACTGCCAACAAAACACAGACATTTGATGCAGTTTCACTTACCGTCAGTGCCGATCCTAGACTTCTGGGGGCCCTACGCAAAACTGTGGGTGGTTATGAACGAATGAATGAAACGCATTTGTCCGTGTTTCACTCCGTCTCGAATGACGCTCTCAGAAAGCGCTTGAGAAACAGTGTCTCTTCCGCGGCTCGGAACACTTTCAACTCGTTTTTTAATCTCGAGCAAGACTGATTTTTACCAAATTCAAAAACTAAACTAAAATGAAATAATCTTTGAGAGCAAGGGGGCACCCTGGTGTTTTGGGGGCCCTACGCAGCTTGCGTATTTTGCGTATAGGGAGGATCGGCTCTGCTTACCGTCTGCAGTTCTGAATCATGACCGGGATCTTTTACAGCTGCGGGACCGCTCCATCTTTCAGTATCAAACGATGTACTAATCCAGCGTCGAACTGGGCCTTGTTTATAAAACGTTCGTCAACAAACGCGCTTGTGAAACTGCGTTGATGCTTCGGAAAAACAAACTGCATCCACTGTTTACATAACGTTGGGTTCTTTAGGAAGCTGAACGAACCCGGAAGTACGATTTTTAGCACAGAAATACTCCGTCATACGTCCAAATTGTTTTTTGAAACTGGGAGAAAATAAAGTTAGTAGAACATTTAAGAACTGTTTTAGTCACCTTTAAATAATGTTCTAATCACAACAAGAGAACTGGACATTTCAGCGTTTTAGAAACATTTCAAAACAATGTTTTGAAACATCTCACAATGTTTTTATAACGTAAACAAATTTGTTACCTGGGAAGTTTCTGATGTCCATTAACATAGACAGGACACGTTTCTGTATCAAAATCAGCTAGGCGGAGTGCAACTGAATAAAGAAGATCACAAGTATCTCGAGATACGTTTAAAATGCTACACAATTTTTACTTCACGCACAGCAAAAATCAAATAAAACAACAAATCCAAACCAGCCCCTTTGCAGCTAAAAGTCAAGCCACTGCTTCAAAATTCATCCCCGGCTTCCCATCAATCACGTGTTAAACTGAGAAGACACAACATGAAACGTGTTTTGATGAATATCTTTAGGCTCATCTCGACAGCACCTCAAAATTACAGTCTGGAGTTTAATTAACAGCAACAGCAAACACTGCGCCAGCTGCTCGACAAAGCTTCACTAATCGGGGCTTCATTAGAGACGTGACACGAACATGTGTGTGAAACATCACGCCGTCGTCATCAGATGCATGGGACCTGAAGACATGTCTCTGTGAAACAGCCTCAGACACCTTGATTTGTTCGTGACGTTCAGACATGCTCATCCTCAGCTCCTTCCTTCATTCAGGCTCGTTTAGACTCTTATCAGATTACGCCGTTAGCTGCGGCTATGTGTGGGAGTCATCGCAATTACGCGGAGACAACAATTTAAACACAGTATACAGCATTTAGCACACGGAGGTTTATTAGAAGTATAAAATAAAAAAGTAAAATAAAATAAAATAAATAAAATAAAATGACTTTTCTAGAGAGATCTAGCAACAATGAGTTTACTACACATTAGCATGGATGCTAAAATATAAAATAAAATATTAATTATTAAAAATAATTTTGCTTGGAATTAAATCAAATAAAATAAAAAAGTAAAATAAAATAAAATAAAATGACTTTTCCAGAGAGATCTAGCAACAATGAGTTTACTACACATTAGCATGGATGCTAAAATATAAAATAAAATATTAATTATTAAAAATAATTTTGCTTGGAATTAAATCAAATAAAATAAAAAAGTAAAATAAAATAAAATAAAATGACTTTTCCAGAGAGATCTAGCAACAATGAGTTTACTACACATTAGCATGGATGCTAAAATATAAAATAAAATATTTAATTATTAAAAATAATAATAAAATAAAAATGTATGATTTTACTGTACATTAGAATATGTGCTTCAGGCTTTGAACTTACCAACAGAGGACACAGAGTTTAGACACAACGTCTCAGAGAAGTGACCGCGGTCTCTCAGAGCATCTGTCTCTGTGTTTGAAAGATTATTTGAGAAGCTGCTCTGCCCTGTACCGAAAATTGACCCTGAACAAAATTTGTGTAATTTTAGCATTAGGCATCATTTGCATGTTTATCAGAAGGCATCGTTCTCCTTTTTATGGCCTCTGGCATCTGCATTGCACAGTCGCTCTGATAAACTGCCCTATAACGACAAACTGAGGCATTGTGGGTAATACGCAGCCCCGCTCTGCTGATTTCTAACCTCTCTGTTGTGTGTGTTAGTCTAAAGGAAGGCACACACACTCTGATGTTTATTGATACTGTTTTAGCATCAGCAGGGGATTCACATGATTGTTGGCATCATCACAGAAACCAGAGCAGAATATATGAACGTGTGGCTTTCATTCTGGGATTTAATCCACAGTAAAACAAATTAACTCATTAAACCTAGAAACCCAGACAACTCCTTACTACTAGTTACACATAGTATGAATTAGTAGATAAATTAACATTAATATTATTCGATAAATGAATGAATGAATTAATGAATAAATAAATTCCTATACTGTATGTATATATATATATATATTAGGGCTGGGAAAATAAATCGAATGGAGATATGAAACAAAACAAACAAACAAAAAAAATCACTCTTTCTACTTAAATTTCACATTTAATTTAATGTGTCACTTGCTGGGGTTTTTTGTAATTATTTGCAAAATTTACTAGAAATTTGAGAGTGAAAAGTGTTAGTATGAATGAACATATATAATATAAAAATATTGAAACTCATACACGGCATTTTTTATTATTATTTTAATTAGTTAATTAATTTTAACTATTTTAATGAACTAATTTTAATTTGTTTTAAACAAAGATTATTGGACCATGTTTTACAAGAAAATACCATCTAAGTCTGTCTACCTCAAAATGTCATGTTTAATTTAGTGTTATGTGCAGTTTCTTAGTAATTAATTGTGAAATTTACAATTTCTGAGTGAAAAAAATTGTTTTATACCATTTCTTTCAGTGTATTGTAATATGAATATATTCAGATATCAAAACAAGGAAGAGGCTAATGTGTTTTAGTCCAGTTCAAAAGCACTGAAAGAAGTTTAAAACTAAAATAAATAAACAAACACATAATTATTATGGAACATATGAATATTTTATGGAATTAAATATTTATATTATGGAATTTATTAATATTTTGGAAGCCATTTTAACTAGAAAACATGAAGAATTACAGTATTTTTCTGAGTTCGTGCTGATTATAAGCTGTAATGTGATCAGAGTTTAGCAGTGACATCAAGTGGCGACACCAGTCATCACGGCTTCATTAATTAGCATAAACGCCTCAGGCTACAAATAATCAATGCATTTGTAAACATTTGACACAAGATATACATTATCTCCAGAATATTGAGATTATGAGTAATGCACAATATGATTGGAGCATGCTTGAGTTAACTTCCATTACACTCAGCCCCAAAGACCTGCTGGAGAAACCTTTCAATATGTGTCATTATGAAAATAATCACAGCAGCGTGCGGCGAAGCGAAGTTAGAGTTGATCAGAAAAAAAACACACACAAAAAAAAAAATACAGTTCTGGCTTAACCCTTTAGGCGCCAGGTTTTTTTTGAAAAATGCTGGATTTTGACATCAAGATTTCAAAAGCGTGTGGCTTGAAAGGGCTTAAAGATAGAGATCTACTGTAAATTAGAAAAATGTTGGGCATGACCGAAAGTTTATGTGGGGTGTAAATATACTCGTCTAATTTGCATATTATGACGTCATCAGGGGGCGGCCCTCTTGAATGTCATAATATTCAGGAAATAATAGATATTGAATTGATGTTTGAACTTATTTGCATGTTGTTGTTTTTTTGTCTTTTTATCCTCATTCCAAATGATCAGAAAAGAGGAAACCAACAATACAACAGGAGAAAGTACTAAATTATTACTATATTACTATACTATATAGTAAAAAGTCATTTCCACAAGCCTTGAAGAAAAATACTTTATTTCTTTATAAATCCACATAGAGTACCTATGAAAGCATAAAATTCCATCCCATATTTTTTTTAATTATTTTCTCCTTGAAATCAAATGATTAAAATCAGAGATGGCTGAAGGTGTACCTCACATACAATTACGTCAACAGTCAATTGGAGGGGAAAAAAAAGAACAGTATTAATTTCAGCAGGCCGACTGTCGAAGAGTATTCAGCACTATGCTGCTTTCACACAGTCTGCTGTCAGATACAGAGTTCTCAAGAGCGTCTTACCCTCAATCCTGGTTGATACGGGAGATGGGGAAAGTTTTAGCGCGTTGTGATAATCAATGTTCTCTCCTGTTTGACCTAATCTCCAGATCCCAAGAACACACTCTTTTTGTTAGTTTGTTAATCAGCTGAAGATCGATCCGTGCGTTCGGTTCCCAATGAAGAGAGAGAGCGAGAGAGCGAGTCATTAGCCGAGACCATACAGAGGAATCCATAATGAAGTGCTCCAGAAGGTCCACAAATGTTAACTCGAGACTGACTCGTCAATGTTTGATCGAACTTTGATAAGTCTGTATCCGCACAGGCCTTCGGGAGAGCGTTAAATCCACAGGGTTCAGTCCTTTGGCACTGCTTCATCTGTTTAACACTGATATTCTGTCATAATATTTCCTACAAAAAACATCCAGGGAGCGTTTCCCTCTCTCTTCCCATTGAATGGTTTAATGGTCCTCGTCTCTCAGGAAAATGACCTCTGGTTTAAAATAGAAAACATTGCTCATATGCACCGAAGAGGCACATGATATCCAGGATCTGGGGAGAGTTTTGCATAAAGAATTGAACACAGAGTGCCTTCCGACCGCGGCTTGTCCTACTAATAGACTGGATCCAATCCCTTTTAATCTGGAGTTCTGCATTTGGCTTCCAGATTGTGAGTTTGCCTTGAAAAACAAAAGAGGCATGAGATCAGATTCAGCAGCGAACACATTTAATCATCAAATGCAAAGGACAAAAACTGCAGAAGATGTTCCAGCTCTGATAAAGTGACCTTTACACGTTTTTACGCACATCCGTCTCGATAATCTGCTCTAATGCACCACAGACAGCTACAAATGACCTGCCAATCATCCACTGTGCTACATGCAAGAGCTTTAAGCTTATAAAAACAACAGTTTGATCCAAAAAATGTAATGAAATATAATTCAAAAAGATTGAAAAAAAAAGATTTTCAATTAAATTTAATATAAATACATACGTAAATAAATAATTATTTTAAGTTTTAAATTTTTATGCATTTTTTGGTCCTACTTTATATGTGTCCCTGCAGCACAAAAGCAGTCATACATCAATGGAAAGCTTATTTATTTATATGATGTATAAATCTCAATTTTGAAAAATTGACCCTTATGACTGGTTTTGTGGTCTAGCGTCACATATTAGGTGGCCTTAACTACTTACATCAAAAAATAAGTACATTGTACTTATTGTGTTCACATTGTGTTGCAAAACACTTCTGCTGCTATTGAGGTGGGATACGGGTAAGGTTAGGGACAGGTTTGGTGGTATGGGTAGGTTTAAGGGTGGGTTAAGGTGTAAGGGATGGGTCAACAGTGTAATTATAAATGTAATTAAATTAATTAATTACAGATGTAATTACATGCAAGTATTTTTTTATATATATATATAAGAACAATGTAAAAACATGTATGTACACAATAAGTGCATTGTACCAAATTATAAATTTAAATGTAAGTACATAGTAGTTAAGGCCACCTAATATAAAGTGTGACCATATTCTTTTTTTATGATAATAACACTGGGCAGGACTTTGGAAATTGAGACTCCATTAGGAATTGATTGGATGGTGGCCTCTATATGACAGGTTGTTGAAGGGGAGGAGTTTAAAAATATGAGAGCTTGGCAGCCGAAAAGGAAAGTAATTTCAGATTAATACGGTTATAGTCTTATTTCTCACAATAACAACAGAATCACATATTAAGAAAGTAAATAGGGTCAGTTTTGATTTCATGTTGACATTAAGTTCGCAAACTTGTCTGTGTGTCAGTGTGTGTGTGTGTGTGTGTGTGTGTG